GTACATGTTAAGCTAGGCATATGATTCGCTTCATGATCGATGATTACATTTTATGCTGGGCATATCACTTTTTTTTTTTTATCAAAAGAAAATTCACAGTAACCAGATAAGATGAATACGACCAGCAACACTCGAAAAAGATGAAAGAGGACCCGATTCGTGATCTATTCATGAAAAAAAAATGAAGATCTGATTAACTGAGCATATCGAGCCAACCAATCAACACATCTGTTTTAATATATAAGAAACTTTGATTTCTTGGAAGAAATCCACTAAGAATTTAATATATCTCAAGACATTAATTAGTTTCACCACCTCCGTAGAATCAAATTCAATCTTAAGGAGCTTCACATCCTACTCCACGGCCAACTGTAAGCATGCTAGAATAGCTAATAGCTCACTGTTTGCATATGATAAGCTCACAAGGCAATCGTTTTACGCAAGGCATATCATGCCCTTCCATCAGCTCTTTATTCGCTATGTCAGCTTATTTGAAAGAGTGTTTTGGATGACTTGTTACATTATATGTGAGATTTATATAGTCACCAACAAAGGTGGAATAGGAGAGAGTAAGAAAAAGGAAAAAGAGATAGATGGCAGGTGCAGTAGTTGACATGGTGTTAGGAAAGTTGAGTGAGTATGCCTTGAGAGAAGTCACACTCCTCTTGAATGTGGACGACGAGATAGAGGTTTCTAAGAGAAAACTAAGATTGTTATTATCTTTTCTCAAGGATGTGGATCAAACACCTAGAGATCAGCATAGTGAATTGGTACAAGAGTGGGTAAACCAAATTCGAGGTCTAGCTTATGACATAGAGGATGTTGTTGACAAGTATACATTGCGGGTCGGTCGATCGAGGCAAAAACGTACCCTCAAATGTATTGCTAACCTCCTAACCCGAATTCTTGCTCGCCATCAGCTTACAAAGAGCTTGCAGCGCATCAATAGGAATCTTCAAGAGACATCCAAGCACGCATCCGAGCTTGGCATCCAAGGCATTCCATCTGCATCCTTGGCTCCCATCAAAGACACAAATCTTACTTTAAGGTAAGCGTTCTCTTCGTTACTTAAAAATTATACTCTTCATCTCTTTTGATCATTTATTTTTTTTATTTTATGTACTTCAGCAATAAATATTTTTGCATAACTATGCCTGAAATCATCATTAATAAGATAAAAATTATCCCCCAAAGAATAAGCGGTTTGGATCAACATCTAAGCTGATCAATTTAACTAGTGACAAGAAAAATTATGAATAAAGAATATTGATGTATAATTGATCTATCTAACTTGTTGAAATAGATTTATTTCAATTAAGAAGGCAAAAAGGCAAAAGAAGTATATAACAAAACTATCGACAAATTATTAACTTTTTAATGTGTCATCAATCATACTTTGTTTGCAGTATACTTCGTGATATAACAAATAGAAAATTTAAATGGAAATAATGGTATTAATAATAGGAACATTAATATCCTTATCAAAGATCATTTTCATAAAATAAATATATGTATTGAATACACAACACAATATAAAATTATCTTTAGTCATGATTGTCCAAGAATAAGCCTTTGGATGTACACATCGGAACTTCTTGAAATGATACACTCAAAAGTAATTAGTATCTTTAAATCTATGCTTTTTGAAACTTCAACGATTAATAGTGATAGACTTATAATATATACTGCACATTATAAATATAAAATGCTTTATCCTTAGTGTTTTATCACTCATGCTTTTACTCATCATGATCTAAAATAAGTTTGATAATCTCCTTGTTTTTGACGAGTAAAAATGATTTTATTTTCCCATTAACTATTATACACTCATAACAACAAGGACCAAATCAAATGTCCTGGGATGACTTATGTAATTCTCAACATCGACATCTACCAAAATCATGTGGGTGACTTTTTCTTAATATAATTCTCGTGTAAGATAACATTTAGAAAATTTTGTAAGAAGAAAATATTTAATAAGTTTTGATAGAAGTAGTTAATTTTTGGTGTGCCATCTCGATAGGAAAGCATCGTAATCCCAGATTTAAAGAATTAAAAATCAAGCAGATGATCTATCTATTGTCAATGTATTGGCTCCCAACTTCTTGTATTGGTACCATTTGATAACTTGAAAACCCCTTTGATTTTAGTGATTCATAAAAGAATCGTCGCTCTGTTTTGTTTCTCCCGAAACCGGTCTTCTAAGTATCTTATAAAGTGTCGATATAATTTCAATTTCTTTCTTCACTTATGATAACAACACTCTCTATAAGTACAGAGATGATGTAGCAGATGAAGTGTTTGGCTTTGACCACGATATCCAAGTCATCACGGATCAGCTATGTGATCTCCATGTAACACGACGTGCCGTCATTTCCATCGTCGGCATGGGTGGTTCGGGCAAAACCACACTTGCCAACAAAGTCTACAATAGCCAAGCCGTCAAAGATCATTTTCAGTGTCGGGCATGGATAGTTGTGTCACAATCGTATACGGCTAGAGAACTCTTGACCAATATCATGAAGCAAACTATGAATATAGGCAACGGTCAAACTAGGGAAATGGATGAACGAGAGATGAAGAACAAGATCAGGGAGCATTTAAAAGGAACAAGGTATCTGGTGGTGATGGATGATATCTGGAAGGTTTCAGATTGGGAAACAATCAAGACAGCCTTTCCCGAAGAATTCACAGCATCGCGAGTACTGCTCACCACACGTAAAATGGATGTTGCCGAAACTGCAGATCCGGACAGGCCTCCGCACCATCTCAAACTTCTCGAGTCGGAGGAAAGTTGGAATTTGTTCAGCAAAAAATCATTTTCTAATGCATGTTGCCCACCTCATTTGCAGCATTTGCAGGATAAAATCATCCAAAAATGTGGCGGATTACCTCTGGCGATCATGGTTTTAGCCGGGCTGCTACGGAGTAAGCATGGAGCTTATGAGTGGAGCCAAACTTTGGAACGTATTTCACATGTACCTAACAAAACCGATGATCAAACTCACAAAATATTAGCTCTCAGTTACAATGATCTACCTCATCATCTCAAGTCTTGCTTTCTTTATTTTGCTGCATTCCCCGAGGACTACGACATCGACGCTGATAGGTTGATGCGTTTATGGATTGCCGAGGGTTTCGTAGGGTCAGACCTGGAGGGTCAAATAATGGAGGACCTGGCAGAGACGTATTTGACAGAGCTGATTAATAGGTGCATGATACAGTTGGTAGAAAGGGATTCGGCTGGGGGTGTGGGATCCATTCGAATCCATGATTTGCTGTTAGACGTGGCTCGTTATGAAGCTACTGAACTCAACTTCTGCAGATCCAGTAGCTGCAGATCCATTAGCGACATACGCGGTCCAACTGATCTACGACGTCTTAGTGTCACAGATGATGAAGGTGTGCATCAATATATATCACTCAATTTCTCTGTCCCTAAACTGCGATCGTTTCTTTTCCTTCTTAAATATGGTGTCGTTATGCCAAGCAACTTTATGATTCATCGATTCAAGTTTCTCAGGGTGTTGGACCTCCAGAGTGTATTTATTAGAAGCTTGCCAAGTGAGATCGGAGACTTGATCCTATTGAGGTACTTAAACCTGTCATCAGATGTAGAGGAATTGCCATCATCTATTGGAAATCTCTGCAATCTACAGACCTTTATCTCCTTTGGTCATAATTTTAGGATACCAAGTTCATTTTGGAAGATACAAACTCTAAGATATTTCATGGTTGATTCACCGATTGAGCCAAAAGCAGGATGCTGCCTGAAAGATATGCATACACTGTTGCAAGTTCAAAGTGGGGAATGGGTGCGGGATGGTAGCTTGGAGAGAATGAGAAATCTTCGACGCTTGGTCTTGTTAGAAATATCAAGATCGGATGTGGAAGGTTTGGCCAATGCTATCGGGAGATTAAACCGACTTGTTTGGTTGTACGTGGTGGGAGAAGTGTTGCCAGCAAATATACTGTGTTCATCTAATCACCCTCACCTTCGATACTTACAATTTAGGGGACCATTGAAGAGGCTTCATATGGACAATATCCACCACGACGCTCCATTTCTTCCGAACTTGGCAATTCTTATTCTTGATGGGACAAGGTTGGAGAGTGGTGATGTTTCTTCCATACTCGTAACACTGCCTAACCTCGAACGTCTTACTTTGGAAGATGAAGCAGTCGTGGGGAGAGTTTTGGTGTTTCCCAAGGGTGGCTTCCCCCGGCTGCGATATTTGTCTCTTGGGACATTACAAGACTTGGAGGAGTGGAGGGTGGAAGAGGGGGCGATGCCTTGCCTCAGAGAAGTACGTCTTTGGTACTGCTCCAACATGAGAATGCTTCCGGAGGGACTGCGAGGACTCACCCAACTGAAGCTATTTGAACTGCATGGAATGCAAGTTATCCAGAGAAGGATACAGAAGGATATTGGGGAGGATTATTACAAGATCCAGCACGTGCCTTCCATTAAAATACAGGACTAACTGGTGAAACAAGAATGCTTTAACTCATGGAAAGGAAACAATACCATTCGCCTCAGTGCGAACGGTGTTCATCAGACACGATGGTCGGTCGGATACAGCAATTATGTTCATTCCCACCGCAGTTGCGACTCCAATTTCTCACGCCACCACCACTTATATGTTAATTAGACATATCAAGACGGACATGTTGTATTTCTTTCTATTTCTGTATATATACATATGAATGTACCTCTCTATCTTGGATTGTCCATAAAAAGCTTGTTGTGGTTTTCCTTAGTAGTTAAGTTATTAGAATCATATCAAATTGATTGGATGGTCGCACCAAAACAAATAAAAAAAAATTCGAATACTAAGTTATTTACTGGATTAATCATTTAAAATAAATCAATTTAATGGACTACTTTTTGGATGATTCACATGAACCGATGGGATTAAATAAAACCAATTCGATTTTGTAATATAATTGATATTACTTAAATCGACATTTTGAATTCTTTCTCTCTCTCTCTCTCTCTCTCTCTCTCTCTCTCTCTCTCT